CAGTAAATCACAAAGCATCCATTTTCTGGCAAAAGTGAAAACTGAGGAGGAATCAGTCTCTATCAGCCTTGATGGCAGCGGCAAGAAGCAGACACAACGCACCCAAGCACGGACCTGGTGCAGCCAGGTGTTCCCTAAACTCAGTGAAAGTAACTCAAACCACTGCCACTCTCCTCACAAATCTGGGAACCTCATTCAGATGCAATCTGTCACAGTGGGGAGACTCAGTCATACACTACATCAGCCTTGTGTTTGCAAACTCAAATTTAAAATCAGCTCTCAGATTGTTTTATCTGAATGTGCAAAATTCACCAGGCTGCTGCTGGCTTTGTCCACTTACAGAGATCTGAAAAATGAGATTTTTCTGTAGTTGTTACTTCACCCCTCAGGCTTTCAGTGCTCCTTGATGACAATCTCTATCCCTCCCAGAAGCACACAGTAAAAGTGCATACCAAACGATGCAATGTTTGCAGACAGACAGAAGACAGAGAGCTGCCCATCTCTTCCATTGCGGAGTTCTGAAGAATTAGCAATACCTCACAGAGCAGACATGACATCAGGGTCTGTGGACAGACACAGTAAGGGCAGCATCGAGCTGACCACAACACAAAAATGACCACAACACTAATGACTGTAATAGATACAGATACAGTCCACAAGGCAAAGGCTGCAGAATCCAAACGTACAGCTAGGTGCATCATGCACAACTTGAACAGAAAGCAGAGCTCCCTGCAGAGCTCCACGCAAGGGCATGGAAGCTCCAAGCATGCCATGAGCACAGACAGTGTGTCTGCTGCTTGCAGAAAACCTTATTCCTCCTCATAAGTGTGGCAGAAGGGAGACAATGTCCCTTTAAATGCGACTAAAGTGTTGTCAATGGATCTGCCATGGTAGAGGAGTTAATCCCCCCTCAGCCCCTCTCAGCCACTGTGATGGGATAATTAGATGCGAGGGCTCACCACAGATGATGCTCCAGTTGCTTAGCAACTAATGGTTTCCATAGAAACAGCAAAGCACAGCCTTCAGAGCAGCAAGTGAGCAGTGCAGCAGGGCAGGGAAAGATGCCTTAAACTCCTGCACTGATCCTCTCCTCCAGAATCATTCAGAGGCCTAGAGGTATTAGGGGAATGAGAAGGGGGTGCCTTAAAGATACAATATCCCTGTTTCAAGCAGCAGTGTTAAGAGAATGGTTTTTATCAGACTAAACCCTCACTGATGCAGTCCTTCTCCCAGTGACTCAACTAGCAGGAGGAGCAGGGTTCCACCACAGAGGTTTGAGCCCCAGCATGTGGGTCACAACATCCTGCTGTAAGCAGCTGAGCATGATTCCAGCATCAATTCTTGCACCCGGGGTCTGAGAGGGAAACCCACAAAAACACACACACAAATAGATTTGCGTTTTCAATACTGTCACAAAAGCAGCCTTACACAGGCATCCAGCCTGGCCCTGAGCCAGCAGGCAAAGGAGGTTTCCTCTAGATTTTGCAGCTTCACAACACATCCAAAAGTGACTATAAAGCATGGAGACCTTCACCAGAATAAACAGAGGTCAGATTAATTAACCTTTACTCAGAACTATCATCTGGTACTTCCTTCAACACGACCAATTCCTGCTGCTTTATTATCCTGCTGCTCCCTGCACTGAGTCAGCACACCACAGCTTCTGAGCATCGCAGCATGACCTGCAGCACCTGCACCCAACACCATGCATGTGCTGTGCAGCTGCAGTGCTGCAAGGCACGATCCTGTCATCTTGCAAGCCGAGCAGAGACAAGCTCTGCTTGTGTTCTGCTGGGAGAGCTCTGGGACACTGAGGTTCAGTACCACACAGTCTGCACCAGGCCAGGATGGGCTGCATCGCTGCCTGCTTGCAAATGCCAGCCCCGTGTGTTAAAGCTTTGCAAACCCCTGCAGTCCTGATGGCACAGAAGGGAGTAAAGCAACTCACATGGCACAAGCAAGCCCTGCTTTCCTCCCCTCTCCTGCAGCCTCACACTTACGATGATCCCTCTCAGAGAGGGCAAGCAGCTGTGCCTGGGGCACTGCTGAGGCACCCAAACTCCTGCTTCCCTCCTCCTTGCCTGGCAGGAGACTGGCAGCACGCACGCCACTCTGCCGTGTGCCATCTCATCTTGGCAATGAAATGGAGACCAGGGCAGAGCCCTCAGTCCCCAGGGCAGCCAGAGGATGGACCCACGTGCTGCTGGAGACAGGCAGCCAGGCTGGGCTCTGGAGCCCTGCCTGCTTTAGTCAAAGCCACCTAATCCCAGGCACTGTGGCTCCTTCCCCTGTCACTGCAGCGTTGCCTCAGCCTGCCCACGAGCCTGGGGATGCCCCTGGAGGGTGGGACATCCAATCCATCCCTCTGGCCCGTTCAGCCACAGCTCTCCTTGCTGGAGCCCTGTCCTGATCCACCCAGCGCTTCAGGAAGGTACAGAGAGGAGTCACTAAAAAACTTGTGGGCCATTTCAGACTCTGTCCCCTATGGCTTTCAAAGTGGGAAATCAAAGGGGAATGATGTGCTTTGTTCCACGGGGGAGCGGCAGGAAAGGTGAGCAGAAACGAGCCTGGCGGAACCGGTCGCTTCAGTCTCTGCCAGCTCACCTTTGAAGTGGTTTTAAAAATCAGGGAGGAGGGGCAGATACGAGTTCAGCTCTTTTAGTGCAACTTCACAGAATTGGAAGACGTGGAGGGTAAGAGGCCACCTTTTCCCCACCAGAAAATAGTGTACCCTTTCAGAGAGGAGAGAATACAGCTAATAAAACAGGCTGTGGTGCTCATCAAGCACACCTGTGGGTGTTCTTGCGTCCTGAGGAGGCTGTGAGCAGCCACAATGACAGCAGCATCCACCTGTGGCACAATCAGAGACACTTCGGGCACCGGCAGGAATGACTGGGCACCCTGACAGAGCCTGGGGCCTGGGCCAGAGGAGCAAGCATGTCTCAGCACCCCGGCCTCTCTGTGCCTCACGTCCCCTCTGCCTCTCTTTAACAGAAGGAGGGGTCAGGACTGCAAACCCCAGCACGTGCAGACCCTGGGAGCTCTGTTTGCATCACACAGCACCAGCTGCTTACTGCAGCACAAGGAGCTGAAGCAATGCCAGCAGAGCAGGAGTGGCCTGGTGGGATGAGAAGCCAGGCACCCTCTGCACTAGGAAGAGGGGAAAAGGACCACTTACTTAACTGGAAATTAATCTCTGTTCTACTGCAGGGGGAATAAATTATATAAACCCCACAGCTGCTTGGCATGGCCAGTATCCTCCAGTGTCCCCACCACATCCACTGAGCTTGCTTCAGAACAAATGCCATTGGCTGGGCAAGGCCCAAACAAGAGAGGAGACCCTTGATGCTCTCACATTGCCAGAGAAACAGACGTGGCTCTGTACAAGCTCACAGCTTCCAGGGGCTGAGGAATGCCAGAGCCACCAGACTCCTGTAACAACTCTGAACTGGAAGCTACAGAGCTGCCTCCACCGGGCTCCAGGGGTGCCCTTTCCAAAGGGGCTGCAGGTGGGGTGAACGCAGCCACTGCCTGCCCAATGCCAGCTCACACGGCCTCTGGAGGCCAAGCCACAGCTCCCGGTGCTGCTGCTGCACCGCCAGGCTGCTCTTCTCAGGGCAGCTCCTGGCAAGCAGCACAGAGAGCTGTGTCTTCCCCGGACACCTCCACCATCCCAATGTTCCTGTCTTTTATTTACACTGGTGTCTTTCAAAAGCCATGCCTGGCTGAAAAACCAGCAAGCCAACAGACTTCACCTGCAAGCAAGGACTCACTCTTGCAGGGCTTCTTCTGCCCCACCAAAATACCCACAGTGTTGTGAGATCATGACACACCTGTGCTCAGCCTAGAGCTCTTGAGGGAGGCAATTTCTGAAGAATTCAGAAATCAGAGTCAGGTGGGTAGGTGAGGTGTCCCTGTGAAGGTGCACGTAGATAATCACAGCCTCAGTGGGTTTTGTGCCCCAGCTGATGCCTGCACAGCCGTGGGAGGGTTTGAATCCAGCAAGGAAGGGAAAAGAAACTCGTGGTGCAACAGGTGAAGTGATTTGTGGTAAATTATTAAACGAGAATAGCCAGCTGGTGTGCAGCACGTGCCAAGGCTAAACACCAAACTCCAGTCTCAGGAAGGGAAAAGGGCCTTGACTGGGGCCTGCACAGAGGTTTTCAGGAAAGCACCCAACCAAGTAGGTCCTGCTTGTACCTGAGGGTGGTAACAGGGACAACACCAGCTCAACTCATGACTGAACTTTGTCACACAAGGTGGAAAAACCGTGTGACTGTAGCCTTTCACATCTAGCAAAAGCAAAATCATACTGATTGATATTTGTGGATTGCCTAACAAGGACTAAGCAAACCTTGATACAGTACAAACTGCCACACTATTGAGGAGGCAAAACTGAGCATCCTAGATTCTCTGAGAAGAAGATTTTCTTTTCAAGAAAAGCTTGCTCTGGTGTTTGGGTTATTTTTCAACATCTCATCTCAAAAGACCCAAAGGATGAGAATAGTGACTGCAGGAACACTTGGCCTCAAGCCCAGCAGAGCAAACCTGCTGTGGGAAAAAGCATCTTTACCTTTTCTTTCACCATAAAGAATACCTTCAAATACCTTGAAGCCAAGCCTTTGATGCATGGGTCACAGGATTCACCCTCATGCTAACATTCTCCCAACACCACAGCACTAACATCATGGCACAGTCTTTCCCAGCAATGGCCAAAAGCAGCCTCCTTCTGTTTGTCTCCTCGCTCAGACGAGCAACAACTCCCTGATACACTGCTCCACCACAGCACAACCTCCATCCTCCTAAAAAATGCTCAACAGATGCAGAATTTCAAATGCAATTAGGGGCGGGGCGGAGCCTGGCGGGGCGGGGCGGAGCCTGGTGGGGCGGAGCCTGGTGGGGCGGGG